GACACGGTTATAGGCAGTTTTCCAAGCCACTGTCAGCACAATGAATATAAGTCCCACTGTCGGTAGCGTGGAAATAAGTCAAAGTGTGGAGGAAGCAGCGGACCTACGGGGAAGCCTGCTCCGTTCTCCCCGCAGTTAGGGACCGTTCTCCACGGCCAGGCTGTCGGCTGGGTGGAAATAAAGCCCTTTTCACACACAGCGCGCAAAGAGCAGACCTCCGCCGACGAACCCATTCATTGTGTATGTGCTACCGTGGCGCAAGAGCGCACCGCTCTGCCGCCGAGCTGAGCAGCGCGCGAGAGGGCCGTGGCGTCTGCGCGCTGCCAGCCTGCGCTCGAATTGAAATTTTTTTAATTTCACGCAGTTAGGGACCGTTCGCCACTGTACCGCTGCTGGGCAGGGTGGAAATAGGTCCTGCAGAGTTTCAGAGGACCTGGAGAATGTTTTAGGATAGTAATAACATTATATAAGATAATCATATTGCAAAGATAATATATATAAGATAATAACTTTAAAGACAAAATTAAATTGCAATACTTTTTCAAAACTTGATAATTTTACCTTTCTGTACATTTTGTATACAAATTCATTAAATAATTTTGCTTCTAAATGTCTATTTGCATCACGTTTATTATGGAAAACACATTATTTGATCAATTTACATTGTGCCCCTAAAGTTCTTGGTGCGCTCCTTACTTTTTCAACTTAGGAGCACATGTGCTCCTTGGGAAAAAAGTTAGCGTCAAGCCCTGACCTGAAGAATTGTTGGGTTTTTGTTACCTTATTAGAATGAGCCATTATATCTACATAAGTAGTGGGTCCTTGTTTACAGTGATCACTATGTTGCCCCGCCATACGCCAAACGCCAAACACTGGCTCTAGATAGGGCCATTTGTATTTTCGTGTTCTCATGTTTTAGTATGTTTTAACACAGCTTTTTAAATGTGAAACTGCTTTATTTAGTATTTTTACTGGTTTAAATCACCGGGTCTGTTTATTTTGGAGAGGAAGAGACCTTTGCAGAAAATCTGGCTCCAGATAAAAACCTTCTGAATGTTACTGAAGAAAAAAGGCGAGAACACAGTAGCAGGTGCTGGGCCAGCAGCCCCTCTGCAATTTGATAAACAGTGTCGGAGAAACACTGAACGTGAAACTTGTAACGTGTGACGTGACACTGCTTTATTAGTGTTTTTACCGGTTTTAATCACCTGGGGCCTCATTTATAAAAGAGTGCTTAGGATTCATACAAAAAGTTGACGTGCGCCCAAAAGCTGAAAATGGCGTGCGCCAAAAAAAATCTGATTTATAAAACCGTGCGCACGCACACTTCCACGCAATGTTCTCTTTATAAATCACAGACCTCCTGGAGTTGTGCGCACCCAAATCCGCCTCATATAATGCCCTCTACACGCCCTAGTTCAACCATAAATGGTCATGCAAATCACCTCATGAATGCAATCTGCATATAAATAAGCCGGCATGTGAGTGTTCTCTCGTTGTGTGAGTCACGGTGACAGGTGTGAGAAACGAACCAAAAAACGGAATTTCTCCGAGACTGAGCTAGAGACCCTTTAATGGGAGGTGGAGGACTGAAGAAAGATTTTATTTGGCGGCCACAGCAGCGGGATCACTAATAAAAGAAAGCGAAAAAAAGTGGTCAGCGCTGCTGATGCTGTCAGCTGTATCTGTGGGACTGCACGGTCAGTGACAGAACAAAAAAAAAGTGGTCTGATCTAAAGGTAGACCAAATATTTCTACTCCTTTACCAATATGTAGTTAATGTGTTGCTTTTAAATTTGAAGATGTTTGACATTGATGTGCGACATGAAGAATCACATATATTAAAGGTGGAGGCAAAAAGGAGTATGTGCCAGTGCCATCTTGCGCAATTACGCACGAGGGTCACCGCAGTATTTATATGTTTATGGCAATTAGTCTGATCAGACACCCGGCCTGAATTACAGCATGAACCAGTGGTATCCCTGTCCCAAAATACAACGTGTAATTTGAAATACAATTCAAAGATGAAAGTGTAACAGGCGAACACGTTTCTTCATGCCGTTTTTGTCATGAACAGCACATGTCTAAGTAGGGCTGATGAAATGAGTGTAACGGTTGTGCTTAATGGCTGTATTTCGAGACATGATAAATGCACTGGAAATATTTAGCTAAATAAATAAATATATTCCATGCAGTCGCGCCATCCTCTCCCCCTCCTGCGCTCACAGAGTGGACAATGAGACATTAGAGGCAGTGTGGATTAAATATGTATTTAGAAAGAATTTCAATTCAGGATTTGAGTTGGATTTTACAACGTTTTTATGAAACAATTATCACTCACTCCAAGCGCAAAATAAGGCTGCTGGATTTAATTTCAATGATAACGTGGATCTAAGGTGGATATAGCGTGACATTAAATTTGTGACATCAATAAAAATCTGACTCCACTTCTCCACCTAGCTGTCTGCGTCGCCACCTCCCAGTGTCTTCCAAAATGTGCGCACGCATGACTCAGAGTTTGCTTACAGGTGCCCACATTCTCCCGCCAAGTTTATTTTTATAAATCACAACCTTTGCGTGGTAAGTGGCGTACGCCACTTTCAAGCCCCGTTTTGTGCGTAAGCAAGCTTTATAAATGAGGCCCCTGGTCCCTTGTTTTGGTGAGGAAGCGTCCTCTGTGGATAATTCTGGTCCCAGTAAAAACCTTCTAAAC